CTGCTCCAAGTGCTCTCAAATCCATCGTACTCCCAACTTCTTACCTCTTCACCCTCCCTAATCTATCAGTCTGTTCATTCTTATTTTACTTTTTACTCTCCTAAATTCATTTAATTTAATCTTTTTATTTTTAATATTCTGGGCACCAGTAGAGCGTACTGGTGTACCTTCAGCACGAACTCAAACTTAGTACACTATCCACATTTTGTTACTACTTCAGTCTATTTTTTTGCTGTAAAATCTAATAATAATAATAATAATAAATAAATAATAATAATTTGATTCTCCTTTTGGATGCCTTGAGCTAGTGTTTGGTCCTCAGGATGAATCAATAACTGGCTGGACTGTTAGTCCAGAAATTGAACCTTGTCAGGTACATATATGTAACATCAAGATGTTGTTTAAAAACATGTTTAGATTAAAGAAAGAGAAATAAATAAATTTGGTTCCGAAATTAATAATACAATTCCTCCATCTTGTTTGGTATCAATTTATGCTGACAGCAGTCGTCCTGATACTGTTCATGTACTGAAGTATGCTATACCATTGAAAGGATTACTGGAGCCAATGAAAATTAAAATTAACAGATCATTAAAAGAATTATTAGGTATTTTTGTGATATTATATTAATAACAAAAATAATTTTGCTTATAGCTCATTCTGTTGGTACTAAGGACAGTCCTAATCCACAAAATGATATCAAGAAGCACATTAATGACCTGAAACGTTTTCTTTCATTTTCTGAAGCAATGTTTCGTGACATAGCTAATGGTTGCAAGGAGGAACGAATTATTAATGCTTCTCAGTATGATGAGTTATTTGATGGGATGAATAACCAGTCTTTATCAAAAAGAGTAGATGTTTTCATGGGAAATATTACATTATTAATTGAATATTGTACTGATGAAACTAGTGTGTTCCTCTCTATACTAAAAGAACAGGATCATGTTGCTCTTTCTAAATTAGCTGACAAGATTGCTGCTTCATGTAAGCTTATAATCAATAATTTTATTCAAATTATTTTATTTCATGCAGTAGAAGCAAGATAATGACTGTAGGAGCAAAGACATTGTACAATTTTTTATATTTATACACTTTTTTAGATGTACTTTGATAAATTTTTAACAAAGCATTGTATCATGCATTAATAGACCTTGTGTTTCTTCTTTATCTTAGGTGCTATAAGTATCCTAGTGCTAGTGTAAATTTTTTGTTTAGAGCATTGTAAAAATGTACCAATTATTTATCATTATGTAATATTATTGTTGAAACTACAGAATACAGAGAGCTATAGTACTGCAATGGATGGCCTCGGAATATTCAGCAGTCATAACCACGCCTCCATCAGTCTCACTCCACACTCCTCCCCAGGCCTCATTTATCCCTTCCACTTTTTGACTTCTTACATGCTATTAGGTTGAGAAATTTTTCTGATGTCGTCTGTGATCATGTGATGATCCCCTCATTGACATGTTACCAAAACTTGAGTAAGGCAGAAAAGTAAGAAATTAAGAATGTTAAGTTTTTACTATGTCTTAATTATTTAAGCAAAAAAATGAAATGGAGGCAAAATGAAAGCTGCAAAGACAAAATAATTATGATAATGTTAAAAAACTTTAAAATGGTTACATGGGTACAGTAAAGAACAACTACTATAAAGCTGCATAAAAGAGTTAAAGCATAACTAAGTTGTGAGTTGAATAATGGCACACTTTTTATTACATTTTCGATACTAGTGTATTGATGTCGCTGTATAGAAAGTTTAAACTGATTTCGACAATTTTTTTGAGTTATGACCATTTTTAAAAATGGGCCAATTTTTAAAAATTACCCTTTTCCAAAAAATAGCCTCATTACATTATTTACTACCATGTAGTTTTACAAAACTATATAGAATTTATTAGCAGTGAGTGCGATAACTGATAGTGAAATGATTGGTTATTTAAAGCCACATGATACATGTAGTTCATATTGGTAATGTGCATGTACATGTACATTAGTCTCGCGTAGCCAGACCCATCCCCCTTTTGACAAAAAGGGGGATGGGTCTGGCTAGGCGAGACTAATGTACATGTGTTTTCATTATATAAATTGCCATGCATATATACTTCTTGTACATATATCCTTTTCATGCTAAACAAGCAGTGTACATTATGTTTTCATTGCCTGCTTGCCAAAATCATTTTATCTACTGTTGACAAAATTATAGTAGTACTTTTACCATGCCTAGTTGCAATTGACCAATCAGATTGCTTGATTTTAGGCATTTATCATACCTCAGGCCTACGAACCTTGGTATGATAAATGCCATAGATACATCACCTCATTGTATAACCTTTACATGTATACTACATGTACATACTTGCATGTGATATCCCACAAAGCACATGCTAAAGTATTGGAGCAAACTTAAACTTTCATAAAAATTTCAAATTTGATTGAAATAAGCTAAAACCTTTTATGCAATACAAGAGCATGGGATAAATTACGAAAGTGACAAATTCTTTTGTAGCCATTTTTGATGAAATTTGACTGAGTACCTTGTACTATAGTACAGGTATTTTGTTCCAATTTTGAGCAACCTAAAATTTCATAAAAAATCTAATTTTGACTGAAATCAGCTCAAACTTTCTACACAACATAAGAGCATGTATGTAAATTAGAAAAAATGCTAAAAGTTGCAAATTCTCTGAAAGTCATTTTTGATGAACTTTGGTCAAACACAGTGCAATATAGTACACAGTGTTTGTGTATTTTTGTCTAAATTTTGAGCAACTTTTAAGATGTATTAAGTCAAATTTTGATTGGAGTCAGCTCAAGCTTTTTATCCAACACAAGAACATGTAGAATTCTTTTTGTAACAATTTTAATACCCTGTACTATAGTACAGCATTGACAAGATGCTGAGCACTATGCCAAAAACCTATGGGAAACCATGTACATGTTTATGCCTATCATTTCCATGCTAAACAATATGAATCAATTATACAATGTATGTCAATTAAAATTAGTATCTTTTGACAGAAATATCACAGGATTTTAGAGCAAACTGGCCCCTCATTGGATACAGCAAAAATGAAGTTGTCATCTCTATGCTCTAACATGAAGAAAGCAAGGTTCCCTATGACTTTACTGGAGGAATTGCAACTAACAATAAGATTAATAGAAGATAAGTGATTACAATGAGGAGCAACTGTTAACTGATACTGCCCATGCATGTGTGTGTGTAGCTGTATTATTGTGTGATTTTCTTTTTTATTATTATTACATGAAATATTGTATGTATTATCTATTGTTGTGATTGAATCAATGGGGATTTGGTTTATTTTATAATAGAAGAATGTTTTGGTTTAATCACTGCCAATGAATTATTGTGTAAATGTAAATATAGAAGCATAGTTGAAGGGTGATACTCTTTTAAAGCTGAATTCCAACTACACATGTAGCTACCAAGTGCATGATAGTATATGTAATATATTGTGTGGCCAATAGCCTGCTCAATTTGCCACAATTGAGATAAAAATCATCAACCATGATGAGCTATATAATCAACCCTTTAGGTCTTTGATAAAGTACATGCTCTCACTGTGCATGATGACAGCAGCTAACTTTTGAATTATTAGCAAACTATATAAAATCAGTAAAATACAGTAACTAAAAATAAAATTAAAAATAAATCATAATTCAGCACTCACTATTCTAAAAATTTTTATTGTTGTGACAACTAATATCTTGATTATTATTTAACATATATCTCATAGTAGCTAACAGGAGCATCTTCATTGCTTGGTGATTCATCTCCACACACCCTCAGCTCAATATAGTCAGTAGTGGTAGTGCTACCATAGTCTCTGTGAAACCATGGAATACCAGGAACATTACAACAAGGTGCCTCGTTTGAAAGGCAACCTTGACCATCCCAAAGTGTATCATTTGTATACAGTGTAACTGAAGCATACCCATAACTACCTGATTCACAAAAGTAGTTATTACCAATAAAAGACAGCACTGATGCTGAACTACCAGTATTACATGGACATGCACTTGTTGCAGTACTATCTTGAGCATAACCACTCATTAGCAGCCCCGTAGCCAGGGTTACAAAAAGGGGGGTGACTTACATGAAATGGGGGTGACAAAGTATGAGTTACATGAAATGGGGGGTGACAAGTTGGACTGGATGCACATGAAATACCACAAATACATGTTTGATTTAAGCAAACAAACAAAAGTACTAACTCAAAAGGGGGGTGACATGTCACCCCAATCACCCCCCCTGGCTACGGGCCTGATTAGTGTCCAGACATGTTGACGAGGAGATCCACGAGTAATGCTAACACCATCAACATAATAAGTATTAATATTATTGCGAATATTGTATGGATACCAGTAATGATATTGAGGTTTGATGGCGTCTGTAGTGCCATATTGATATCCTTTGACTCTACCTATCTGAGAATAGCTCAGGTTTTGGGATGGGAAGCTCACAGAAACACAACCAAAATTTGGTCTACCACAAGCTCTAACTCCTGACTGATACAGTCTAAACCCAGAAGGACAGTCCTCTGCATGCAGCATCAGTCATATCCAGATATGCTAGTCTTGTCCATCCTCCTCCTGAACCACACAGTTCCTCCATATTACAGTACGCAGTGTAAGTTTCATTATCTGTTGCTAATACATATTACCCTGATAAACTGCTTGGGTATTGACTTTTTAACTCTTGGCAAGAAATTGGTAAAGAGTTGATTCATTGTGCAGTGCCAATAATTCTTGTGCTATTAGTAGTAACTCATCAACCACTCCAGCAGTGGATGTACTGGTATCTTGTAAATTTGAGAGAGCATTGACAATGCTAATTAGCTTTTGTGCAGAGTCTTTTGTGGTATGTTGTATCTGTTCAGATTGTTCAGTGAAGTTTGGATAGCTCTGAAATAATAGCTGAAAGGTACTTTGTGCAATACCATCAGCCCATTCTGTAAAATTAGGAAGAGCCTGTGTTACATTGCTGTTAACTTCAGAGACAATCTCATTAGCCCATTCATCAAATTCAGGAAGGCTTTTCCCAAGCATTTTGATTAAATCATCAGTAGTAGCACTATCACTTTTCGAATGAACCAGCATTAAGCAAAGCACAGTGAGAAGGATTATCAATATAATACACAGTAACACTGTAAGAACAATAAATGGTGCATTCCATGCTGACTGGTTTGCTCCACTTTTTTTCAAGGACACTGCTGGTTGAACATCATTCTTTTCAGTTGTCTCAAAATCTGCTAGCTCATATATGTGGTCTTGAGTTGGCAAAAAAAGTCACCTCGAATTTTTTCTTTGGTTTCCATTGAATACTTATTTATACAAACTAGTCAAGACTTATTTCCTGACTACAGAATCAGATAAAATATGGTCAAAACACTTGTCTCTTTTTATAAGCATTTTAAAGGAGCAGCCACAAAATCAATTAATGCCTATAAGTAAATTAATGCATCATGCCAAAGCAAATCAACCTATGGCGTGCAGTAATACCGGTACAAAGTAAAGCAAACAATGCATACCGGTATGTAAAATAAACAAGAGCCTATTTGCAAATACAACTATCCATAAATTGCTTAAATGCAATGCACTTAGTGAAAGTCAATAGTCTCTAATGCATAAACAATTAGGTTCAAAAACATTAGTAGCTGTTAGGCAGACAAATGATTGCATGTTTAGATCTACATGTACACAAGTATATGCATGGGCAAAACTGAATGTTTGTCTGTCTATAGCAAACATTATTGTTCTGTTATTGAACAGAAGTTCATGTTGTTTGTGATGCATGCATTAACCCATCAACTATGATAAATTGCTTGTGCTTACAATGTATTTTTAAACTCCTGCATGGTCTAGTGTCCATTTTAACTAGGCAGAGTCATGGTAAATTTTAAAAGCAAGCATTTTTAGAATACATAATATGCAAATTTTCATCTTACGTACATCTTACAATATTCTACTTATACTGAATGACATGACACAGAACAATATTGTACTAGTTAAATGAAGCTTCTATGCAGTAACAGTTTAAAACTTTATGCTTTCATATCAAATATAAGTGCACATTTATCTGCACATCGCTATACATATTACATTTTTCCTGTGATAATACAAGTCCATCTAAGGCACTTCTAATTACTAAAACACATCTCAAAATAGTTATTATAATGAATATGTATATTGAGTGTCAAACAGCTATAATTGTTTTAGTTGACAAGTTCATAAATTGTATCTGTAGTATCAGGTGAGGCTTGAAATTCCTCATAAGCTTTATTCTCTTCACATTTAGCAGTCTTGTGAAGTTCATATGGTGTGCATACTTGCATTGCAATATTTCCATAATGCTTTAGTAACTCAATAAAAGTGTACAGCTATAGTGCTTACCTTGGGTTTCTTTTAGAATTTGTTCTAATACTAAAAAATAAATAACAATTAGTTGGATCATATTCTACAATATACCATACTGTGATATGAGTAACCAGATATTGATTGCAATACTAACAGTTAGTATAATCAGCAATACACCTACTATTGCACTCAATGCAATAACAATATCAATACTAGAGGAAGCAGCTGAAAAATTAATAATTATAATCATTAATCATTAATTAAACTGATGATACCTGAGTTTGTAGAACCAACATTTATTATGCTTGTGGTTACAGTATACATATTTGTGAATGTCTGAAAACAAGGCAATTCCAATGTCTCCATGCTAAGAAGCATCCAAACTCCATATCCATTATCAGTGTATGCACGTATACTAAAAACATAACAAGTACTATCATTAAGGCCCGTAATGTTAATGAATGTACTATTACTGGATACATTATATTGATTCATTGACAGGATATTAATGTCATCATCAATGTCTGCCACTGAACAATTAACTGACTGCAAGATATGATATCCTATCTCATATGTGATAATGGGATAGTCTGATGGAATATAACTAGGTACACTCCATGAGACAAGAGCCCATGTAGTGTCCATGATACTGGATATTGAACCAACTGGACCAGGTACTATATAAAGACACATTCTCACGGAACTGATATAGTATAATAATTACATACCGATTCCAATCTCTACTACAATAGGATCACTGAAGGGACCTCTTCCAAAAGAATTGACAGCAGCTACACTGATGTTATACTCAATACCAAATACTAGATCATTCAATATGATATATCTCTCAGTACTGGTGAGGTTGTATGTGATACTACTGTTACTGATCATCACTGTATAGCCTGTCATTAGACCATTACGCTCAGAGCAATTAACCTCATTCCAAGTGAGATTATTAATAGGTTGTGATAAAGACAGAGGGTATGGTACACCATTAGGAGCTAATCATTAATAGAAAAATGAAAATCGTATATGTCGTATAATATAGGGTTTTGAAATTTGGTGAATTGACTCTAAAAGAGGTTTGATGATCAAAACTTTGGCAAAATTTGACCAGGTGTATGCTGCTACAGCTTATGAAATTAGAGACTAAGGCCACCATACATGGGGCAACATTGTTGCTTAAAACTTTGTGGTTACTTTGATCTTGTTGCCTCAAGTTGAGCAGTGGTCAGCTTGAAGCAACAAAGATCAAAGTAACCACAAAGTTTCAAGCAACAATGTTGCCCCGTGTATGGTGGCCTTAAGTTTAAATTAATGGACTTCAATTCACCAAATTCTCCAAAATTTTACTATACCAAATTTTCTAGTTATACAGTACCTCTTGATGATGGTGTATTCTCATAAACTAAACTAGAACTGGATCCTCCTAGTACATTACCAGCTCTCACTGTGATGGTATAGTTCATACCACTGTACAGACCTGTTAATGTATAACTGTATGTTGTAGTGGACTGATGAGGAGCAACAGAGACTGTCTCATTCACTAATGATGACTCGGGACAAGATGAAGTATAGGAGATGATATTATAGTGTGTTACATAGTTGTCACTACTGGGAATAGTCCAGTTTACTGTAATACCAGTGGTTGAAACATTAGATACTGAGAGACTAGTTACTGGACTAGGAACTAGAATAAAATCAATTTTTACACTCTCTCAATAGTAACAACTCACCATCAAACCTTAACACTGTTACTGTACTATGAACTGAAGGAAGATCTATATATGAGTACACACTGATGGTATAGGCACTCATTGGTGAGAGATCTGGGAGTACAATTTCATCTTCACTAGTAGATACTACATTTGTTATGTCTCCAGTAGTATACTCAATCACATATCCATTAGTCTCTGATGAAGTGGTCCAGTTCATTTTAGTACTAGTAGCATTCAATATAAACCCTCTCACATTAATAGGAGGACCACTAGGAGCTAAAATAGAGCAGACAAAAATATACTATTGTTTAAAAAAGCATAATAGTACCTTGTAATATCACAGATTGACTGTAGTTGACTCCTCCAATCATTGCTATACAGCTAACATTAACTGACACTCCCAGTGGATCAGGATATACCAGTAGTGTGTTGTTGTATGTCAGGAACTCAATTGATGTATACATTGAGTTACTCTTCATCACTCCATTCACTAGCCAGTAAACATCAGTTGAAGGATTTATATCAGTAGTTGTGAGACAATCAATACAATATTGAGTGTTATTGAGTTGTGTAATGGATGAGACTAGTGTCCTATCGATTGAAGTGATAACTGATAGAAATGCATCAAAAATGTTACAAGTACATTGAAAGGTTAATACCTGGTAAGGTCTGTACACTGATTGCACTGCTAGCGGGTCCCAGTAATTGTTGATAGGCTCTGACTGTGATGCTATAAGTTGTTCCTCCTCTCAGTCCATTTAGTGTGATTGTATTATTACTACTTCCCTCCACCTGTACTGTCTGTACAGTGTCTGTGTCACTAGTGACATTGACTACATATCCATCAGCATCAGATGAATCAAGTGCAGTCCAACTGACAGTGATAGTGGTAGCTGTCTTGTTAACTTCAGTAAGGGAAGAGGGAGCAGATTCTGGGACTAAGAGAAAATTAAGTTTATTAAAATACAAAGACATTCTCACCAGTTATTGTAATGGTGCGGTTCCTCATCACACTGCCAACATGCAAATAAAATCTATAGTCATGATTGCCACTAATTACAGTTTGATTTTGCATTCCACTAATATTATTTCCATCCCATGTAATAGTTACAGCATAATCATTTTTTCCATTGCCAAAATTTATTGACATTCCATTGCCAATAGTACAGCTGTATGGATCTCCCATACAGACTTGAGTACTAGTATTTCCAGACTCATAATACCAATTGGTTGCATACACGGAGAATAAACTTACAAAACCTGTTCTTATAGCATGTAGAGTAAAATTTTGAGGTAATATTGTTATATCTGAAGGAAGATCAACTGATATCTCTTCAATTTGCGCATATTCTACAGTAAGTAAAATATACATTTATAATTAAAATTAATTATTATAGTCAACTGAAATAAGGCAGAAATTACAAGTAGTTCGTTTAAAAGAATTATATTTTCAAAATTTTGAATTCCCAAATAATTCATCCTTGTAACTGCTTAAGCCAGCAACTAACCAGTTGTATCATCAGTTCCCTCCCAAAAAGTTAATGCTCTATAGATTGCATGCCCCTAAGTCACTTACTGAATATATTAGCAAAGATGATGTTAGTGTTAGGATCTGAACAATTAGTGGGTAGACAACACTTGTACCAGCCATCAGACTCATCAGATATTGGAAGTGACAGTCCAAAAGGTATATAAAGGCTAATACTGGCATTATTAATCTCTGTATACTTTTGACAAAGGAAAGGATCACTGTAATCATAGCTTGTGCAGTTAACAGGTTCATCATCTTCAAGTCTAACCCACTCTCCAGTAGTTAGACTAAAACCTGGTAATGCACAAGTAATTTTATTATTTGTCCTGATATAGGCATCTAAAAAATATGATTCATTTGAATAACAGTTTCCATCATACCTCAGGTAGATACCTATAAAAACCTATACAGTTGTCATTATACACATCCAGTGTCTTACCTGAGGAAGGTGGACATTGACTAATAACTTCACTGACACTCAACAAGAAGACAACTGCTGTCAGAGTAGACATAATTCACAACAAGGAGGAAATGTCTCACTATGAATAAATTAAATTTTATTGCTAATGATTATTAACATGAGAAGGGAATTTAATTTACATGTAGCAATAGATACTAAAACTTGCTTTGTACATGTAGATATCTATGCACTGACATTCAAGTAACAACAATATGCCCATAACATCATCACGACAATTATTATTGCATTAATAAGTAAGAATTTCTTTTGCCTTGTTTGTGCGACTAGGAGCTTTTTGTTACAAACTAACTATGACATTGAAAAAATTTAATATTTTGAGTATAAGTATTCTGAAACGTAAAGGGTAAACTTTGTAATAGGAGGTCTAGCACTGCTGGTCGCTACTCAAAATTGATTTATATAGGACACTTCATGTCTTCTTTAGACAAGTAGTCTATGTATTGTAACAGTTGTTCATATTTTGTAAAGCAAACAAGTACATGTACTGTGTCACTTAACAAAAGTAAACACCATTGTATAGCTGCTGTATAGGCAAAACTGAACATACATGCAGCTCTTTATTCAAAAGAAGTTGATATTGCTTATTTTTAGTAGTTAACATACACAAGTCTACTTGCTACCATCCACAGGACTCAACTCATGTTATACACATTCTTAATACGGGAACCAAAAGTTTCAAATTAATAAAAAATACACAAAACTATAGTCTCAGTTGTTTCAGAGTGGAGTGTAGATAAGACAAACTAAAATAATTAGCCATGCAACTTAATCTTTTTATTACTAGGTCTAATGAATATCTAATATACCAGTGTGCAGTCCAATAAATAAAAATGAGATTATTTAAATTTATCTTTTAATCATTAAAACTAAAAAAGGATAGGATTTTCAAAATGTTATCATAACTACGCACCATAGAACATGAAAAATGCATGTCAGAACCAAACTAAACTACATGTATGTCCTTTTGACGGACCAAAATGGTATACAGTTAGAATTTAGTCAATTGACTAACTTGTAACTGTATACCATTTTGGTACGTCAAAAGGACATATACGAAGTTATGACACAGTTGAGTTATGTAGTATAAACATAATGTTTGAGTGTACAAAACTTGTGAATTGTTATTGAAATGAACCGTGCAGCAATATTTATGGGCGTAAAAGATTTATATAAGTATTTCCCTTTCAAGAAGGGATGTTTACTATTCCTGTCAATTTGCAGTATACAGAGAAATGAACACATAAAATTACTCACAATAAGAAAAACTACAGTTGAATGTTTAGCCACATTAATAGTTCAAACACAACAAGCACATACACACTTTATTATAGTTCTATACAAACAAAAACACCCGACTAAAATGTTGCTACTTTTCTATTTAATGCCCCTCATTAATCGTCTGCAATGTTGACTCTTTATTTCAGCTAGTGCTGTCTCAAGACTGTTAGTCAAATGAATGAGATTAACAGGATCAGTCTCTATCGTATAAACACTAGGAACACCTAATTAAAGAAAAAATTAAAATTGAAAGGAGGAAATAAGAATACAATAACTTTTTGTTGTGATTAGTATACCATTAAGACTAAACTAGTAACATACATACATAACATAGACATGAATACATTTAACATACAAACATAATAGTATAAATGCAACAGACAGTGAAAGTAACACTGGCACAAGGTACTACACATACTTCACTGAACCCATAGCCACCACATAAATAATAAACAAAGATTTGGTTTAGACTCTTCGTGTACATTAGGTTTTCATTAATTATTGGTATACTTGATCAAATACCCTGTGATATAATAGGCCATTTTCGTTCATTTGAAAATTTTACACACACAATATACAATGTAAAATGCATGAACATGTGCATCAATATGGCTTCAAATTTTTATCATAACTAAATTTTGTCAATATTATTATTAATGAACACGTACTACATGCATACATGCACATGTGTAATATACCGTATAGCAGAAAATTTTTGCGGGCCAAAATTTTGTGGATTTCACGTTTTTTCAACAACCACAAAAATAAAATTCACGAAAATTGATTTAATATGGTTCAAGATGGCCGAAAAGTAGAAAACCACAAAAATTAAAGCCACAAAATTGATTTTTGAATGGATCCACAAAAAATTTTGGGCCACAAAATTTTTCCGCTATACGGTAGTTACAGTATGCCATGTTCACATAACATGTTAATATAAACCATGGTTTCGAGGTGTGTATCAGTATAATGTGAGACCTCTGCCCCTCAATGTCTGCTCTCGGCTTCACCTCAGGCAGACATCTCGTGGATCAGGTCTTACATTACTGATACACACCTCCAAACCATGGTTTATGTAATGCATGTACATTGTATATTGATGTACATACATGTATCTATACCTTCCTCCTCAGTATGTAGTCTCAGTAGTATTGATGGTTGTACTTGTCGTTCCAGTGATCTAGAGCTCAGTTGTGCCTCCAGTCTCCACTCCAGGTCAGTGTAGTGAGGAAGATCAAGGGACATACTCATTAGGAGGGACCTTATCTCAGAACTGTTCTCCTCATATAGCTAAAAAAAGAGGATAAATATTAAATTAATTAGAAGAGAATTAAAAAAGCACACTACATGTATAATAATCAGGGTTTCTGTTCAGATTTAGTATGTTAAATTGAATGGTTAAAAATCAAGCATTAGTCAACATGTACCGTATAAGATGAAATGTTGATTTTATATTGGCGGATTGACAGATTTATATAAAAACGTCAAGATAACATCCACAAGCAATAATTCCATTTATGAGTGTGACCACACCCACATTAACTTTAGTAAAAAATTTAATTAAAAGCAGCTACGTGTACATGTAGCTAACATGGCTTTACTATGTTTCCTTAAGCCAGTCTCTAAACCAGGTGATAAAGAATACAATCTTCCAGAAAAGGTACCTTCTTTCTCTGATAATATGTTGTCCGTGAACCACACCCGCTTAAGTAAAACCCCACCTAAGGGTATTGATATAATTAAATTGTTAGAAACCGCCAATATTAAATCCGCCAATAAGCTAGCCATCACAAAACCGCCAAAAAAAACTCCCACCAACAAAAACTCCCGCCAACAAATCCTCTTATACGGTATTGGCATGTTTTTTTTAATGCTCATAACTTGAAACATCAATCAGAATCAGCTCAAACTTCTACACAACATAACAACATGCATATGCATTAGAAAATGTAATAAAACTGTTACTCATGGTTACCTGGTAGAAATCCTGGTACATCAAAAGGTTGTCAGTGGAATACAAGAAGGATCAAAGAACCTAACAAACCGAGCACTTTTAACTGATAAATTAATATCTAAACAACCTAATAATAATAATAATAATAATAATAATAATAATAATAATAATAATAATAATAATAATAATAATAATAATAATAATAAACTTGGTACTAAATACATGTAAGCCATTTATAAACCTTAAATCAAGCAATGGATACAAGTACAAGAAAGTGTCTCTGTTATAAAAAGGTGTCCTTTATGTGAAGATTACTTTATACAGTAAGGAATTTACATGTAGTTGGTACACTAAGTGCTGTCAGTTAAATGGAGGTGTACACAATAGAGAGTGTCCATTAAAAAAGGCTATACCACTGTACATATGTATGGTAGGAGTACAATACTAACAACTGACCTGCTTTTTGATTGGGCTGATTACCAACCACACCCACTGTCTGTCCATTCTACCTGGCAAATCCAACTACTACATGTGCACATGTACATGTATATTCATAGCACAGTCGGGCATTATTTAGAAGACCTCTTCCTTGTCTACCACAGCTTTGATGATGCAAGACATGGCATAAGGAGTGTCAGATGAAGGAGGGATGATGAGATTAAGAGCAGTGAGATCACAATCACTATAATAATGATAATTATAATAACTAGAAAAAAATGTAAAACATTAAAGGCCAGGGGCTCTGACTCTGACCACACCTCCTAGTCATGCCACCAAACGTATGCATCATATACATACACACTGTACGTAAAGAAATTCTCATAAGGGCTTTGCCAAAAAATTAGTTACTAGACGGATGTAAAACATTGAAGGGGCAGGTACAAGCAAGCAAGGGAATATACAATGTTTAGATGTCACACAACTAATGTTGATGTAACACATACAGAACTTGTGACTTGCAAGCATGGAGCGACATTTATAGCTTGCTCTTCTTGCTTTATTATTAGTAAAGAATCTCAGCTGAAATTTAAGCATAATTTAACTGCATAGCTTAGCATGCAAAGCACAGTACTGACAGGCATTCTTTTCTATGAGAAATTCAAAATTATATTTAAGGTTTTATATTCTGTCATTCAACCATGATTCAAGAGAACCTAAAGATTTACATGTATATCTCCTTTCTTAACTTCTCTCTGCTGGAGAAGTGTCTAGACAGCAGATCAGTCTTATTTTGCTGCAAGTAGCATCAGAATTTGCTCCCATTTCATGGCCTTGATAGTCGCCATTTTATTTCATTGCAACCACACCCACATCAATGAAAACATTTCATCAGAATGCTACCGCATTAGATCATTAATTGATGTAAATAGATAGTAGTACACACATAGGTCTGACCAGAATAGGTGTGACTGTGCACGTGCATGCATACAGAGTGAGGAAGACATTCACCTGAGTGAGGATTGCTCATGCTTGCCCTAATACATTGATTGATTATTCATTACATGACTAATATAGGAGTGACACCAGGTATCTATTAACACTAATAATAAATCACACCCACTATAAATTAATTACTATTAAGCAACACCCACTATTAATTGATTACCTTATTTTTAGGAGTATTCAGTGCTAAGGTGTTCAACGAATGAATCGTATTTGATGAATGAATCATCTAATAATAACTGGACCCTCTCCCTTCCTGTCAATTTACCCTGTAATAAATAACAAAAATAAACATTATTAGACTATTCATTCATTTACCACTTTGTCTTGTTGTTGTAATTGTACTAGCTTAGTGGGTGTGGCTATGATTGATCACGTGAGCAATCACAGCCCCACCCTTAGCCTTTTGCAAATATGGCTCATAAGTCTTCTTTTCTCCCATCTTTTCTACGTATGCCATTGCCAGTACCAGATCCGCACCTGACTATAGCAGATCCTACAAAGAATCAACTGTCAAGTATATTTAATTGTTTATTTCTTTTATTAAATGAAATTTAAATATTTAGGTATTCCCGAACTACTTCAGTTGCTCGGTAGGCATGGTTATTTTGGAGCCAATTACTATATTCTTGGATTTTATCTTGGACTATCCTCTCCTACACTGGATGTTATTGCAAAGAATAATAAAGGAGATAATGAGAGCTGTTTACGTGAGTGTCTTACTAAATGGTTAGAGAAAGCAGACGATGTACAGGAGACTAGAGGTGGTCCTACTATCTATTCATTGATATCAGCATTGAGGGAATTAGGAGAGAATGAAGTAGCTGAAGGAATAGATATGGAGAGTGAGTTTAATAAATGAATATTTTATTTATTTGTTTGTTAATTTATTTTTATTTGTTGTTAAGAGCATCCTGCTTGTAGAATTCTTTCTTGTTATACCTCAGACCAAACTCTGGTATCTGCATTACCTCAGTTGGCTATATATTTGTATGACGCAGATCTTATACAAAAGATGATCGTCCCACGTCATATGCCAAGAGAATCACTACTGGGTGAAATAAAGGCGGCAGTTTGTGCTGATTATAAAAAACTTAAGGCATTTGCTGGTATTTTATGTAAATATAAAGTCACTGTTGGTATAGGAAGAGCTATTAAGAAAGACTGCAGTAAGTACATGTATTATAACATATACCAGTAACTTATGATTGATTTCTAGGAGAGGTTTATGAGAGTGATGATGATAAGAATGGTAAGAGTTGATTTATTGACATATTAATTATTTTATTAAAGGACTCCAGATTTATCTTCCTAAGAGTGTCACTTCAGAGTTTAAGAAGATGCGATTAAAGTTTTGGCAAACATTCATCAAAGTAGAATCGATCATGAAAAGTAACCCTGAATCCCCATCCCTTTATGATATGAAACATGTACTTGGTACATATAACAAAACATTATGGCCACAGTTAGCTCAGTGTAAAGGTATCAGTGACATTCTACAATTAATACGTGCTAATAGTTCACTTGATGACATTAGTATGTTGGAGTATTTTGTTAATGAGTATACTATAGAGGAGGCTAAGGTAGTAGTTGAGGAATGTAAAGGAGCTGTCGAGGATTTAAAAATAAAACTTTGCCAATTTTTGGAAGAAGAGCTTTTAAAAGCTTCATCACTAAAATCTAAGTGTGTTATGATTGTCATTGATGAAGATATTGATAATTCAGTGCTTAAAGATGTACAGAGACTGTCATCAGGTGTATTACCATACCATGTAAAATTAAAAGTCATTAGAGATGATGGTAGTATGTGGGAAGTTTGGGAACAAGAATCATTTTCTGATACTTTTGATGATCCTATTGTACTAAGTAAAGATATCACAGCTACAACTAAAGAAATTACAGGTACATCAATATTATTATTATGATACATAAGGTAGCTATTGAGTATAGGAACAACAGAATCAGTGAGCCATTCTTACCAGGAGGAGGAGGAGGAGGAAGACACAAAGGATGAGCATCAAGTTATGTTGCTACAGGAGAAAGTTCAAAGTATTCAAAAACAACTGGAGGAAGAAAAGGAACTCCATGAAAAAGAGACAAAAATTCTTGAACAAGTTATAAAGAAATATGAAAAACAAATACTTCAACTGAAAGGGGACTTCATTCAAAACAAAGGGACAATAGCAACACTTACTGAACAACAGGAGGAAATTAGTGAAGACTTGAAACACAAGACAGAGCAATATGAAGAATTAAGATCAGGTTATGCAATAGTGTTATTAATAGTTTAATTGTTGTTGTTTGGGTCATTTTTATACTGTAGACAATGAACTTACTTACAAACAACTGGAGGAACTTGAAAAGAAACTAAAAAGAGAGATACAAACATCCTCCTGTTTCATGAAACAGAAAGAAGTTGCTTTAAGAGAGAAAGAGGAATTACAAATAAAGATTTTTGACCTTCAACAAGAATTAGAACTACAGCAAGCCAAAGATCACAAGGAAGTATTAGTTCAGTGTGAATACACTATCACTCAGTCAGGTATGTTTGTGTATGTGTATTATGTTGTGTACGTGTTTTTATTGGTATAGTGTTTTGATAATTTCAAAGACACACCATTTATTATATGCACCTCTTCTTATATTAGAACAAGGGCCAGTACAACAGAAAGAAGAGTATGGGATATTACAAGAGAATGTATCCACATCTAATTATATTAGTAAAGGTATAAGTTTTATGAACATGCATGTACTGTTTAATTGTTAGCATTTTAATATAGGTAACATATCACAATTATCAGTAATAATGGCACCAGTTGAAGATGACTGGTATTATATTGGACAGTGTCTTGAAGTGAAGGAATCAGTGTTAACTGAAATCAAAGAGATGACACCAGTTGATTCAAGATTAACTCATGTACTTGAGACCTGGTGTCATGAGAAGGATAGAACAATAACTGAACTGAAGGAATCATTGAAAAGAATAGATAGAGATGATATACTGGAAGGTAAGGATTAGTGATTGGTATATATTAATTATATTCATTTACTGTACATTGTCATTCACTGTAGGTTTACATGAATTACCTACTGGACAATATACAATGAATAATGATGAAGAATATGATATTAATGGTATGTTGTTGTTTGTGCAGTTACTGTTGACATGTTTATTAATTATTATTATTATTTTTAGTAAAAGATTCAAATGATGAAGTTGAGACCCAAATTGAAACTGAAAACAAAGAAATACAAACAACACAAACAAGTATGTAATTATTTATTTATTTATTTATTTATTAGTTTTATACTTTAGCTCTTGACAAAGAAATTCAGTTCAACTCTCTTGTATCATCACATAGGTCAGTCCCTGTACTATTAGTAACGTACATGTAGTCTCAGGTCAACTTCGCAAAGAATGAAAAGTAGAGATTTTTTCATTTTTATAATTTTTTTGATGCATATAC